TGGCGTGGCGCGGCGCAGCGACGGCGGCAGCAAGTAGACGGCCGCGTCGGGGTCCGCCTCGGCGCCGTCGCCTCGCCTGCGTCGCGCCGGGCGGCTCTTTATCCGTCATCGACAGACTGTCGGGGCCTCGGCGGGCTAACCGCGGCCACGACGCCCGTTCCGTCGCGGGGGTGACCCCGCGGCCCATGCCACTCGACGCCCGACGCCCGCGCTCCGACTCCCGCCCCGCCCCGTTTCGCCTCTCCCGCCCGTCCCGTTCCCGTCCCGCCCCTCCCGCCCCGCCCCGTCCCGCCCTGTCCCGCCCGCCCCGCTCCGCCTCGCAACCGCCCAACTTTGCCCCACCCGCCTTGCCTCACCCCCCCCGCCCACTCCGCCCCACCCCTCCCACTCCGCTCCCCCGCCGCCTCCCGCGCCAACTCTGTCCCACCCGACCACTCGACACACCCGACACCACCCCGCCCAGCCCCACCTGCCCCGGCGGGTGGATGGACGCGTCCTTCGGGGAATCCTTCTCATATCTTTCGTTCTTCTTCCTCGTCCTTTTCTTCACCTCCACCGGGAGGGGCATCAACTAATGTCACTGCAACTACCTCTGATCGAGAGGTCCGAGGGTTCTCTCTCGAATGGTGGCAGGATTTTCGACTCTACACAGCTTGGTCGAAATCAGCCGTTGTCTTGAGGAAAATTCTAGCGTCCGGCTGCACTGATCTGTAGTTTTCCGTGATCAATACCATGAAAATGCTGGAGTACCCTAACAAACGGGTCACGGACCGTGCGCGATCTTTCCATCCACTTCCGAGTTCTTTTCTCACCTCTCAATTAAGCACACCTACAGATACGTGTACCACGCTACCACGCAATCCGGGAGGTCGGTCGGTAGCTTACAGCTTGTTCCAGCTGATGGGGGATACCTGCTTGGGGAAAAGCCCAATAGCCGACGAGCAGGTCGGCGCCGGATCTCGTCATCCAGCGGAGGAAGATCACCTTCCCAGAGGGAAAACCCGCACTACACATACGGGACTAACGACCTTAGCGGTTGATGCTCCCGGAATCACCAGTCAATCAAATCGTTCTGCTCCTTTTAATTCTTCTCCTTCCTCCTCCTCTTTCGTCTCCTTGTTCGCCTTCATTTCTTCTTGCTCCTTCGCATCGGCTGACGTGGCCCAACGGATGCATTCCAGTAGCTCAGAACAGCAGGTCATAGGGTTTGAGTCCCGGCGGTGGCAGGATGTTCGACACTAGCTCAAAATAGAATTCAATCGCTGTGTGGAAGAGAATTCCATCGGCCGGTTGCTCTGATCGGTTGTTTCCGTATTTTCTCCCATCAAAACCAGGCGAATGCCGCGGCAATAATTGAGCCACGAACCGGGCGCGATCTTTCCTTCTTCTTCCTTGACCTATTCTCTCCCCTTAGCCAAACACTAATATCCGCTATACAGCCCCACGTGTTGGAAGACCAGTGGAGAGATTACAGCGTGTCCAGTTAGCAACGGTGTCCCGCTGGTGGGAGATATCTGGATTGGGAAAACACCGCCACCTCCCGCGATAATGAATAATAACAAATGACTAATGAACGAAGCAGTTGACGCACCCTGAAACACGAAATCACCGATCAATCATTCTTCTTCACGTCAACGTTCTCCTCTTCCTTCCCCTACTCCTCGTTTAGCTTACAAATGCGTCGAGATCCTATAAGAGCGTTCAGAGTATAAGAATTTGGATTAGACCCCTACGCTTTATAGTTCCACACTCTGGAAATTCATTTAGTAAATATCCAGTCTTTATATATCAGTCCACATTTTCCTTATATTATGGAAAGCATGTTTGAAATTATTAATCTGTAGGACCTTTATAACGAGAGTGAATGCTTTTTGTTATTTAAAATGTATGTTCAGTGTCGCATACAGTGTACTCTACTAACTCACCTTTTTGTGTATTTCAGAATCGATGTCAAAGATGTATTTGGCAGCCGAGGTAAGTTAAGTACTGCTGGATTATTTCATTGAAGTTAATTTATGTATTACTTCATAACATATAAATTTCACTAGAAAGGCGCAAAGCGTTTCTAAGCGCCTGTTTTCCTTTTGAAAACTAGTTTAGTTTAAGTTTAGTAATATTATTATTTTGAATTCGGTCTCAGAACGCAAATCTGAATTTTTTAACAAAAGTGATAATAATTTTCTTCAAAATTTCTTATATAATTTTTCATATTTATTTTATAAATCAGTTAGCATAATACGATCAAAATAGTTTTGGCCAAATGAGTAGGACTTTATATTTCCGTTATATTTAATTCGGCTCGGACATAATAATCTCGAGTTTCTAACAACACAAATTATATAACATGACGTTACAATGAAGTTTCTTCAAACGCAACGAAAACAGATATCTGAGCAAGTCTCTGAATAAGATGAAACCAGGCTTCAATTGTGGAAACTACTTTCGAAAACGATTACTTCGCTGTCAAGTTATCTCAACGCAATTGCAGTTGTAGTCTAAAGAAAAGAGACATTTCTCTTCTGCAGCAATGTTCTGCCTTCTCAGCTCTAGGAAAAATCTGGATTAACATCCCTTGGTAATATTTCAAGACAATTTTCTAGAAATGTTAAGTGTTACGAATTCTGTTACAAAAATAAAATTACTTGACTACTATTAAATATTACTTAATGACATGATCATTACAGATGAGCCATGATTGATGATTTTTTGTGTGCACACCTTTTTATTTCTTCGGTATCTCCCTGTTCTCTGCTTTTTGTGTGTAGAAATTGTTTTTTCACAAAGGTGGCAAAATTGAGATTGCCTAATTCCTTTAATTAGAGAAAGGACCAACATGTATTAAACAAAATAACTGTTGGATATATAACATCGAAATTTTGTTCAAACATATTAAATTGCCTTAACTGCCAGTAAAAATTTAATTGACTTCTTTAAACAAAGGAACTTGGTTTACGTTCACCCCCAAAAATGTAAAAATGGCTGGTTCCGCCAAGACTCGGGAGGTGTCAAAGAACTATGTCGGAAGCTTTACCTCGAGTTATTTCTTCAGATTGTGTTCTCCACCACGTTGCCCAAGGAGTCTCACTTTCTTATTCTGCTTTTGAATAGAACCCTAGTTCTTTCAACTCAAAACTAATGTATCCCTCTGCAGGTTATAAACGTAGGAGATACATATAATTTTGAGCAATCAAACGACAATGTGCACTTTCACAAGCTCTTCAGAAGCGTGCCTCGTCAAAAACATTCTTTCACTAAGACAACCTATTTTTTCTCATGGAACACATAAATATACTTTTATAATTTTTCCTTTAATTTGGAAATAATTATTTTAAACATTCGATTTATTTAATAATGTAAACTGACACGTAACATTACGTATAAATGTTCGTTTTGGAAGGTTTGATACTATTATGCCGACAATGAGCTCTTGAAAACAGCATTTCGATTCCTAAAATTGATTTCATGGGATGCAGAAATTATTTTATTTTTCATATCAATTATAAACCATAAATTGGGATAAATTGTCCTAGTTTATGGTTTATAATTGATATGAAAAATAAAAAAAAATTCTGCATCTCATGAAATCGATTTTAGGTATGGAAATGCATTTAATTTACCGATAATCCGAAATCATATTTCCAAGAAGTCTCTTTAGAACAGACTTGGTGATATACTGCATTGTACTTCTTCCATTAATGAAGAATAAAATTAACTCATATCGATTAACCGATAACTACCAGACAGCACGACGTTACATTACGGGAGATCACAAAGGAGCATGACGTTTACTTGAGGGAGACAAACACGCGCCCCGCCCTGCCCCGCGCCGAACCCACCCGCTGCACGCGGGCCCGCAAAAAGCACGAAGGCGCGATGGTATCGGGCAGCGGTCATTACGAGGGCGCTTAATGTCTTTTAACTGCTCTTCCCGCGGCGAGGCGCGCGTTGCTCACGCCAGGGGCGGCCGGTGGCTGCGGAAGGTCGTGACCGATTTCTGCGTAAGCGCCGGAGCGCCGCGTCCCCGCACGAAAGCCGTCGGCCGCGCGCGCCGCGGGGGGGGGGTAGCGCTGCGGAGAAGCGGAACCTTCGTTGGCGGGTGCTCGCCCTCAGCACGCAGGTGCGTATGGCGCACGCACGAGATCCAGGCAGGCGCTGGATCTAGACCTTGCCCCCCCCCCTTCTCCGGGTCCCTGCGCTCGCCGCGGTTAGCTCTCTGGGGAGACGTTCATTGATTAGTGCTTCCGGGCGCGTCAACGGCCAAGGTCATTTAGTCCGTAAGTGTAGTACGTGTTAAAACGATGATGTTCCCTCACTGGATGGCGAGATCCGGCTCCTATTCGCGGAGCCTATTTAAGCCAAATTCTCTGTCGGGCGTCATTGGCCGACGTTCCGGATTCGATCAAACATGTTGAGGTAAAAAGGGGTGAATGATAGTAGTAGTAAACACGTACGATATCTTCCGATGACATCCGAAAACATCGGCTGTCGCACGAAAACCTGTTTCGGTTCGTTTTGACTGTCCGACGTGGACCGACCGAAATTTCGGCCAAAATCGACTCTGCTCTGCTCTCTTTAAAACTTTCCGGTGAGAGAAGTAGCAACTGTATTCAGACTGCACGCCTTCCATCGCTGCGATCAGGATTCAAATTTCGCTCGATCCTTGGGGAAATGGCGGGGAACAAAGCGGGGTGGCAGGTACATTGGGGTTCTTCAGTTTCCCCTGGCTTTCACTCCATCGTTGCCCCTCAATCGTTCAACCATCACCCATCCATCAAAACATCAGGTAAGACCGAAAAAGCGAAGGACCCAGAATCACAATAAGTAATATTTCGTTTGTATTTACCTCTCTGTGCAACTAATTGTTTTGTTGGATGCCTTCAGTGTGACCTTTTACTCTATGATTGTATCGCCATCATTCATATCATATCAACACTATTATCACATTTCCGGCAACGCATTTGCTTCCCAGAAATGGGCTCGGAATTGGGTAAGTGGAATAATTTCCCTTTCATGCTTTTTTTCTCATATCACATTCTTCCTTCTCATTCATTCTTATGTTCATTCCCATCAATTAATTTCTCTCTTCATATCGATCTGCTAGTCTCGCGCCGTTTTCTCCCTCCTTTCTCTTCTGGTCTGTTTATTTGTTCCCAAATCCCTTTTGATCTAATATACTATTTTTTCATTCTCTATGGATTTAAACGTTTCATATTTTCTTCCATTAAGTTGTTCCTCGATTGCCGAACTATTTTCACTATGTCTGATATTTCTTCCACTTTATCTCTGTAAATTTTTTGTTCTTTAGAACGTTTTAACTTTATTTTAACAATATTTAAGATACAAATCATTGACAATAATTGAACGTTTTGTATGTATTGTTTCGTGTAACTGAAATAATATGTCGGGGCAGATGACGAAAAAAAACCCATCATACTACAAATAAACAATATTTTGATCTCAAATGTTCCATGAAACACATATCAATAATGAACATTTGGTTGTGAAACTCATCCTGACCGACAAATAAGCCATAAATAGTGGAATGTTATGTTCTATATTTATCAAGATCTATACACACATATACATGGATATTGTTTTTGTGTATTGACAACAAATATTGCTATCAACCTTTCCTTATATGTGTAACAAAATGTATGAAATATAATTTCCAAGTAATTATCAAAACGCCCTCGCCTCTTTGGTGCTTTCCGTAGGTATCACAACAATACTATATAAGAAATTACATTTCATACTTACAATTGATAGTCACAAACAATCGTTTAAACTATCCCAAAACTGTGTACTGTGAGCAAAACAAACAGCTCTTCCATTTTACGCGAACTTACCGAGATTCCATCTTCCCGTTTCCACTCTATCCACGCATTCCAAAGCAAATTTTGTAGCTTTCTTTTTTAATGAGGGAAAGCTGTAAACTATTAAATATATAGTGACCTCCACTCTTAATTTTGCTCTCTTGCTTTGGTACCTCACTTGTTTGAAGTCATACCCATAAAGGGACATCAAAATGGTTGTGTATAGAGCTTTAATGTACACGATCCCCCGTTCGTCAATCGGCCTAGCGTTGGCCAAAGGCCGGCCGGAGGTCTGGCGGTGCGGCCGTGTGCGTGTGCGTGCGTGGGGCGTGCGGCGGCGCCCAGATTGCCGGCGCTGGGCGCGTGTCGGAGCGAGCGGCGGGTGGCGGCGGCGGCGGCGGCGGAGGCAGACACTGCGTGCCGCGGGTGCCCGCGGGGGCCGCCGCCACCGCCGCATCTGCCGCCGTCCGCGCCGCTGCTCCGGCACGCGAACGCCGCCCGCCGCCCGCCCCTCCAACGCTCCGCAGCCTCGTTAGCGGCTCTGGGCGTCTAGGGGCTCCAGGTGAGGGCCCCGGGCCGCTCAGCTGACGAGGTTCGCGCCGGGCGCTGGCCCTCGGCGGAGAGAGCCCGCCGCGTCGCACCTATGCACTTGGTAGCGCTGTATATATAATTTATTTGCCCTTTCTCTCTTTTCTCCCTTGTGTTCCTTTTCCCCTTTTTCTCCTTCTCCGCTTCCCCCCTTTACCCTTCTAACCTTCCCCCTTCTAACCTTCTCCCCTTCTCCCTCTCTCCCCTTCTCCCTCTCTCCCCTTCTCCCTCTCTTCCCTTCTCCCCTTCCCCCTCTCTCCCCTTCTCCCTCTCTCCCCTTCTCCCCTTCTCCCTTCTCCTCTTCTGCTCTTCTGCTCTTCTCTTTTTCTCTTCTTCTCTTCTTCTCCTCTTCTATTCTTCTCTTCTTCTCTTCTCTCCTTCACCCCTCTCTCTTTTCTCCTCTTTCCCACCTCTCTCTTACTCTCTCTTCTCTTTGGCGGCTGAGGCGATGCTGTATCGGACTGTTGTACCCAAGTTCGCGAGTTCAAACCCGATCGAAGCCGTGGATTTTTAAGGGCACAAAAATACTTCCATCGGAGGGGAAGTAAAGCCAGGTGTCCCATGTTAGTAGAT